CAGCAACTCAGCCCCAGATGGCAAACTTACCATGTCTGTGGTCAAGGATGCACTGTTCAATGAGGAGGCAAGAAGGAAAGACATGAGCACAGATGAGACTCATGCCCTTGTGACAGAGAATAGAGGAAGATCACAAGGAAAACAACAAAGAAACAGTAGAGGGAAATGGCAAAGCAGGGGCAAAAGTCGGGGGAGATCATCAGATGGCCGGAAACCTTCTTATACCTGCCACCATTGCGGTATAGAGGGTCACATGAAGAAGAATTGCTACAAATTGCTAGAGGAGCGAGGCAAGAGCAATTCTCAAGCGAAGAGCAAGGGTGGTGAAGCGCTCATCACAATCTCAGGTGATGTGGCGTATTGTACTATCAACGATGAAACATGCCTTCACGTCTCAAGAGAGGACACTGAATGGGTGGTAGATACTGCAGCATCCTACCATGTTACTCCCCACAGGTACTACTTCACAACTTACAAAGCTGGAGACTTTGGAGCAGTGAAGATGGGCAATTCGAGTTCATCTGAAATAGCTGGAATTGGTGATGTACAAATAAAGACGAGTTCTGGGAGCACAATGTAACACTTGAGATTTAATATAAACGGATTAATAGTACTACTCATACCAACAGAGGTGCATCTCCTTTTAAGGGAGCTCATTACCCAAGAACTCCAAAGTTAAGCGTGCTCGCACGGGAGTAGTCTTGGGATGGGTGACCCCCTGGGAAGTTTCTCAGGGCGCGCATGAGTGAGGACAAAGTGCGCGGTAAAGGCTCGTGGTGGTTTGTGGGGACAGTACTATTGGTCCGGAGTAACTACCTTGGGTCCTGCGGGGCTGGGGTGTTACAGGTGGTATCAGAGCAACCCTGCGACAGTGTGCTGATCCGTTGGATATCGGGCAGACACCTAGCAGGGGAAAAGATTCTGGGGTTTGATTGAGATTGGTTTAAGGGCGCAACGAGGACGTTGCGATCCTAAGTGGGGGTGATTGTAACACTTGAGATTTAATATAAACGGATTAATAGTACTACTCATACCAACAGAGGTGCATCTCCTTTTAAGGGAGCTCATTACCCAAGAACTCCAAAGTTAAGCGTGCTCGCACGGGAGTAGTCTTGGGATGGGTGACCCCCTGGGAAGTTTCTCAGGGCGCGCATGAGTGAGGACAAAGTGCGCGGTAAAGGCTCGTGGTGGTTTGTGGGGACAGTACTATTGGTCCGGAGTAACTACCTCGGGTCCGGTGGGGCCGGGGTGTTACACACAATCACTTTGAAGGATGTCAGACATGTTCCAGACCTTCGTCTCAATCTCCTGTCAGTGGTATGTCTTGACGAACAGGGGTATGAAAACCACTTTAACAGGGGCACCTGGAAAATGTCAAAGGGCGTTTTGACAATCGCTCGAGGACATGTTTGTGGCACATTGTACAAAACCCATTTGAGGATTTGTACGGATAGCCTCAACATTTGAATATGCCTCAACATTGGTACACTCCGACGTCTGTGGTCCTTTCGAGGTGGAATCAATCGGTGGAAGCAGATATTTTCTGACTTTTATTGATGATGCTTCTCGGAAAGTGTGGGTGTATTTCCTGATTACGAAAGATCAGGTATTTGAGTGCTTCAAGACATTTCACGTCTTGGTGGAACGTGAAACGGGAAAGAAGCTGAAATGTCTCCGATCTGATAATGGAGGCGAGTATACTTCTAAGGCGTTCGATGCATATTGTAGAGAATATGGCATTCGACATGAGAAGACAGTACCACGCACCCCTCAGCACAACGGCGTTGCTGAAAGAATGAACCGGACTATCATGGAGCGTGTCCGGAGCATGCTGAATATGGCTAAGCTTCCGAAGTCATTCTGGGCAGAAGCAGTCAACACCGCATGCTACCTTATCAACCGATCACCTTCGGTACCACTGAACTTTGAAGTTCCAGAGAGGTTATGGACAGGTAAGGATCCTACATACTCACATCTTAGAGTATTTGGCTGTTCATCATATGCACATGTATCCAAAGAGCTCAGGCAGAAGCTCGATGCAAGAACTATCCCATGCATTTTCGTTGGCTATGGAAATGAAGAGTTTGGATACAGGCTATGGGATTCTAAGGAGAAAAAGGTGTTCAGAAGTAGGGATGTTGTGTTCCACGAAGATTTGACAATAGAAGACATTGAAAAACCCACAATGTCTCGGAAGTCAAATGAGGGTGTTCAAGTTTCAAATGAAGCACCAGAAGAGGACAAAGTGCATGAAGATAACTCAGAAACAGAAGAAGGCGAGGAGACAGAAGAGAGTGCAGAGCAAGGGGAGACACAATCCACCCCGCCAGACACAGATGATGGTAGCTTTTCTCAGATGGTCCCTACTGTTCGTAGATCTGAACGAGGGCATATACCATCGACAAGGTACACATCATCTGAATATCTTTTGTTAACTGAAGATGGAGAACCAGAGAGTTTTCAAGAAGCTGTATCTCATAAGGATAAAGAAAAATGGCTAATAGCAATGCAGGATGAGTTAGAATCTCTGCAGAAAAATCAAACCTATGAGATCGTAGAACTTCCCATAGGGAAGAAAGCTTTGAGGAACAAATGGGTGTTCAAGCTGAAGAAGGATGCAAGTGGACAAGTGGTGAAACACAAAGCTCGGTTGGTTGTCAAAGGATTCCAGCAGAAGAAGGGAATTGACTTTGATGAGATCTTTGCACCAGTTGTCAAGATGACCTCAATCCGAGTTATACTTGGCTTGGCAGCAAGTATGAACTTGGAGCTTGAACAGATGGATGTGAAGACAGCATTTCTTCATGGAGATTTAGAAGAAGAAATCTATATGCATCAACCGGAAGGTTTTGAGAACTCAAATGATAATTTTGTGTGTAAATTATCTAAGAGTTTGTATGGTTTGAAGCAGGCACCAAGGCAGTGGAATAAAAAGTTTGACTCATGCATGAAGAGTCAAGGCTACAAGAAGACTACTGCGGATGAGTGTGTATACATCAAGAAACTTCCAGACGGTACTTTCATTGCTCTTCTACTATATGTAGACCACATGTTGATCGTTGGGAAAGATGCAGTGAAGATAAAGCAGCTGAAGAAAGAACTCTCTAAGTCTTTTGATATGAAAGACTTAGGACCGGCTCAACAGATTCTTGGGATGCAGATCACTCGAGACAGGAAGAATCGCAAGTTATGGCTTTCTCAGGAGAAGTACATTGAACGAGTACTTGAGAGATTCAACATGAATGATGCCAAACCTGTAAGTGTTCCACTTGCGAATCATTTCAAGTTGAGCAAAAGAACATGCCCTACATCCAAGGAAGAGATCGGGGAGATGTCAACAGTTCCATATTCTTCAGCAGTTGGGAGTTTGATGTATGCCATGGTATGCACAAGGCCAGACATCGCACAGGCAGTGGGTACAGTGAGTCGTTTTCTCTCTAACCCCGGGAAGGAGCATTGGGAGGCAGTCAAATGGATTCTCAGGTACTTGAAAGGTACCACGAAGTTATGCCTTTGTTACGGCGGAGCTGATCCAGTCTTGGAAGGCTACACAGATGCTGATATGGCCGGAGATACTGATAGTAGAAAGTCTACTTCAGCATATATCTACACTTTTGCAGGGGGAGCCGTTTCTTGGCAATCAAGATTGCAGAAGTGTGTCGCTTTATCTACAACAGAAGCAGAATACATTGCTGCCGCTGAAGCAGGTAAGGAAATGTTGTGGCTAAAGCGTTTTCTCCAAGAACTTGGGATCCATCAGAAAGAGTACAAGGTACATTGTGACAGTCAGAGTGCTCTAGACTTGAGCAAGAACTCTATGTACCATTCTCGTACAAAGCATATTGACATTCGGTATCACTGGATACGGGAGACGATTGATCAACAACTGTTGAGACTAGTGAAGATCAATACAAAGGAGAATCCATCAGACATGCTGACGAAGGTGGTAACACGGGATAAGCTAGAGCTGTGCAGAGACATAGTCGGGATGCTTGTTTTGAATATGCCTGGAAGGGGAGAATTGAAGAATTCAATTTCCAGGTCATATCCAAGTACAAGCAAATTGAAGAATCCAATTGCAATAACCATGAAGCTTCCTCCATGTGCAAGCAACAACCATGAAGCTTCCTCCATGTGCAAGAATGACAAATGGAGCTTCCATACACCTAGGAGTGACCTTCCTTCCAACCACCATTGAAGCTTCCTCCCACCTTCATAGTACCTAGTTTTGGTGCTATAAATAGAGAGCTTGGAGAGTCTTTCTATCATCAAGTAAATTAGAATAGATCATCATAGCACAACCAAGAAGAGTTGTGAATATCCTTGAGAGATATGTGAGGTGTTGTTTTTGAGAGTTTTTAGTTAGAGCTTGTATGTCTCTTCTTTCTATTCTTGAAAGTAATAGAAGTGTTTTTCTCTCATATTAGCACGATCCTGTTATTCCCAACAGATTACACCCCAAACATGGCGGCTAATCCGTTCGTTAGAAGTTTTGAAAGAGAGACATGGCTTAAGGTTTTCCGCTGAGTACTTGGGCTTCTCATATCATCTGTGCACCTCTGGGAAAGGAAGGTTTGTCTTGGTTGTCAAAGATTAAAGGGAACCCTTGATTCTTGAAATCAGCAATGCGAATGACAGTGGGTGGCTATCGAAGTTCTTCTTTGTTGAGAAGTCGTCTTTGGGCAATGAAGGAGGCTGTTTGACAGACAAGTGGAGAGTTGCAGGTTCGTATTGTACTCATTCCTTCCTTTATCTTTTTGTGTGTATGTTTACTGTTTCAGCTGGCAAGCAGAAGATATTTCCTTTGCACTTCAGACCCCAAGCAGAGGAGAGGACGAATCAACTTCTTGAATTAGGCATTGAGGCTCGTTTGTATTCTTCTTTGGTGACTAAACTCAAAGGTACGGACGTTGAACCTGTTCTTCTTGTTGTTAATCCTATTCGAGTTGGCTTATGCCGGTCCGTTAGGAATATGCCTGAGTCTTCTTACTTGTTCCAAGATGGCTCTCCTGCTTCCATTGATGGGTCTAAGAAGGAGGATGATGCTGCCAGTATTGATGATGAAGGCAGTACGCAGGATGTTCAGGAAGTTCCTCCTCCCAACTCTCAGCTAGTGTTTGCTGTTAGTTTACCAACGCCTGTGGTTGTTCCTCACCTTGTCCCTACCACGCACTTGGGGACTCCTGCTACTGGTAACTAATCTTCCGTGTTGTTTATGTTCTTCTTTTGCTGTATATACTGATTTGCTTAATAGTTTATCTGATTTTGATGTTGTTTAGCGGCCTCTTCTTCCACGAGTAGTCGTAGACCATTGAACCCATTGGATCCTGCTAATGTGGTATCCAAGAAGAGGAAAATGATGCCCCCCAGTTCTCCTGTTGTCAAACTGAATGCTCCGGTTACATGTTCATTGCCACCACCTATACTACCTCGTGATTTCATTTCGAGCCCTGTTCAGATGAAGCTTGAATTTTCTGGTGATTTCTGCCGCTTGGAGAATGCCTTAAACATGAAAAATGAAATATCCTAGTTGATGCTTCCTTCTGCTAATAGTGTGTTTGATGGCTTTTCTCCTGCAGATGTCTTTGCACCTCTTCTGCCTTTGCTTTTCAGGTTAAAATGCATTCTTCATTAATTTCCTTTGAGTAATGAGCCATGCTAATATTTATCCTTTGCAGGGTATCCAAGCTAATCTGGCAGCTTCAGATCATCTTCATGCTCTAGAGAAATCTCTTGCAGAGTCAAAGGTTAATGAGGAGCTTGCGAAAAAGAAATTGTCTGAGACGGCTCAGCTGAAGTTAGACATGGACACCAAGCTGTCTCAGCTGAATGGAGAGATCCGGATGCTCATTTGTGAAATTAAAGCTAAAGATGCTCGGATTGTGGCTTTGGAAGAGTACAGGAGGAAGAAAAGGAAGAAAGTTGTTGCAGCGGCTACGTATTATGCGTGGCAGACAAAGAAAGATCTTATGACTGCGTTTCTTGCGGGCGGAGCGGACAAATGGACCCCACAGGATGATCTGGACACTTGGGCGTTGTACTTTGAAGAGGCCGAGCCCCCCGTGGGTGATGACGGGTTTGATCTGGGCCCTGACAACAATGAAGCCGATTCTAGATCCTCCAAACTATCTTAGGCTGTCCTTTAAGTTGATTTGTCATTTATCTTCAAACACTCTGTTTTGGTTTGTTTTTCAGCCACATCGCCCAGAGATTTTTCTGGTGGTTCGGTGGTTCTGATGATTGACTGTCTATACAAGTTTCTGGTGGTTTATCTAGAACTTGTATCTTATGCCGCTTTGCTCGTGTTAAAACACTTTTGTATGCATCACTTTGCTCTAATGCTTTTTACGCGTGCACTTCTGTTGTTCATGCGTGTCTTAGTCACTTTTGATGTTGCTGTTGTATTCTATGTTCAATCTGTATGTTTCTTTGTGTTTGCCTGACTTTTTTTATGCTGTCTGTGTATGATCTGTCTGTTGTTTTGGCCAAACCGTTCAAGGCACATAGGCTGGTTATTTGTATGATCTGTCTGACAGTTCTTGTCACGGATCCCATTCTGTGACAAATAACTTTGTCACGCTTGTTTTGTCACGGATAGGGGTGGACTGAACCGGGCCGGTTCGGGCCTCGGGCCTGGGCCCGGCCGGGCCTCGGTTCAGAATATTGAGGCCCGAGCCCGAACCGGGGGTGGCCGGTTCCGGGCCGGTTCCGGGCCAGGCCACCCGCCCTATTTTTTTTTTTTTGGCTTCTTTATTTAATCCCCTACCCCTCTTTCTCAACCCCAAAGGGCCCAAACCACCTCAAATGGACCAAAATACCTAATCTAACCCAAAATATAAAAAATTTTCAAAAAAAAATAAAAAAAAAAATTATTTCCGGCCCGGACCGGGCCCGAACCGGCCGGGCCGGTTCACCATATGGAAGGCCCGGGCCCGGAACCGGGAACCACCGGGCCGGTTCGACCCGAACCGCCGGTGGACCGGGCCACCGGGCCGGGCCGGTTGCTACAGTGGCCGGGCCGGGCCGGTTCCGGGTCGGGCCGCCCGGCCCGAGTCCAGGCCTAGTCACGGACAAAGTCCGTGACAAAGTTGTTTGTCACGAATTTTTTAAACTGTCGTCCATGACAAAATCCGTGACAACCCCTCTATTTTTTTTGTAGTGAACGGGATATGGGCTGCCTTAGCCCATAGGCCAATACCTCCACACCAACAGGCATAAAATGCATGTTGGAATATGGAATTATCATTTAGACAAGAAATAGAAGTGGAGAAAATATTGATAAAAAGTAGTAAAAAAATCAAATAAAACACTGGGTACTCGTTTTCCTCTTCAGCAAAATAGCTTTTGTTGTTGGTGTAAGTTTTCCTGAAATTCTCGACAATTTATGGTTGACTTCTTCAAAAGTATCACGGTTTTTTTTTGTTTGCAGAAGTATCACAGTTTTATAAAACATCATTTATGTAATAAGAATTTGAGTTTTCATAGTTTGTGCCATGTCACTATAGTTTGGGAGTAAAATTAAAGAACTTCTCAAAGAGTTTTTTTTTTTTAAATATTGCAGAATAAAAAAGTATTTACGGAATTGGTGTTGAGTTAATAATATTTACCTGAATACTGCTCCAACAAACTATGGTTGGCAAGCTAGGAAGCACGCTGCGCAGATGAAGAGCACGGCATGAAAGAGATGGGTACTTGTAGGACCCAACAGGAGGAGCTGACCAATAGGAAATAGTTCATGGATCCAAAGTTAAAAAGATCCCTCTTTTTCTTTAAATTGGTATAAGTTTTTTATTTATAATTCGATTTTCATAAAAACTGTATCAAAATTCATAACTTTTTATTACCTTTCATATGACACCAATATTCAATGTATAAAATTAAAAAAAAAATTGATGATACAATGAATGAGGGTTTTTAGGCTACAATTTTTTTAAGTAGATCAATTTTCTAAAATTAAGATCTCATAATTTCTTATAGCCCGCTTGGTAACAAAGAAATTGAATGAATCGATCGATTACGCTACAGTTTATGAAGTTCTGGATAAAGTTTCTGGATTGATTGATTGTGAGCCCGTTTGATGACTCTTTTTTCAGCTTATCGGTCAACTTTTAACCAAATACGTAACTTTTGATTTCGCGCACTGAATTATGTAATAATAAGAAAAAAGTAAGGTTGGAGTTATTTTTCTGGTTGTATTCGTTGAAGTTAATGTGGATGACCATTTTAGCTATTTTTCATATACTTTTTTCTTTATTTTATTAATAAAATATATTTTAAATGTATTTTTTCACAAATCAGCAGAATAAGTCAATACAGCAACTTCAGCCAGAACTTCATAAATATCAGCAGAATCAGCCGATTTCAGTGTTACCAAACTAACGGCCTCTTTGTTGATTTATGAAAAAATTGTACGAAGTATATGAAATATTTTTTATTATTAAGGTAATTTAAGGTAAATAAAAGTTATATGAAGAAATATTGAAAATGGTTCTCTACAGTAACTTCATTTAATACAGTCAAAAAGTAAATTCAACCTTAATTTTTCTTATTATAACACAATTTAAGTCAATTATTTAAACTAGAACGATCTGATCTAGTTTAATGACTCCTTATTGACACTTTCGACCAATATATTTAATATCCCGTAATTAGAACATGAAATTGAGGTGTAAAAACGTGAGTTCTAATTTTAGAACATGAATTTATTTATAAAAAAAATTGAGACTAAAAACCACCGGCATACCTGTAATAATTAAACAATTAAGGTTGAAGTCACTTTTCTACTTGTATTGACTGAAGTTACTGTAGATGACACTTCTAATATGTTATTTACTCCCTCCGGTTTTTAATAAACTTCACACTTTCCTTTTTGGGACGGTCTAAAATAAACTTCACACTTCCTTATTTCCTTTTTGGGAAAACTATCGAATAAGCCCCCGTACTATACCAAAAAAGTCAATTAAGCCCTTGTACTTTACAAACACTCAATTAAGTCCTCGAACTAATAAAAAACGTTCAATTAAGCCCTTTTGGTCTTTAAGTAACCGATTTTCCGGTTAAATGTAACCCGTTTCCCGGCAGCCGCTGTTGTTGGGGTTCGAGCACATCGTCGCCGTCGTCGTCGTTTAATCGGGAAACCGGTTACTTACCGACCAAAAGGGCTTAATTGAACGTTTTTTAATAGTTCGAGGACTTAATTGAGTGTTTGTAAAGTACGAGGGCCTAATCGACTTTTTCGGCATAGTACGGGGACTTATTTGATAGTTTTCCCTTCCTTTTTTGGCAAAGAAATCTACATCAAAACAGTGCCAAACAGTGTCTCAACAGTGCCAAACAGTGTCAAACAGTGCCTCAACAGTGTACTCTACAGTAAAGTCAAATTTCTTTCCTTATTTTGTGTGAAGTCAAAGAGTGAAGTTTAATAAAAACCGGATGGAGTATGTTATTTGACGGATCATGGTTGCAACGAGCCTTTTCTCCTCATATGGTCTTTAGATTTTCTTAAATTTATATATTCAATATTGGTGTTATATGAACTATTATAAAAAGTTATGAAATTTGGTATATTTTTTAAAATATTTTGAACAAAAATATAAGAGATAGAACACTTCAAAGAAAAAGTGGAAATTTTTAACTTAGGGCCACTTGGCCACCTAATCCCCAATTTTGATCCCTCCCTCTGCCGTTTCTTTTCCTACGGACGTTCTTTCCGTATTTGGGCAGAAAGTCGCCCTTTGGTTTGGCTATTCTATTGTTTGTTTAACCGTAGTTCAATAGAGCACTATTCTTGTAAATAGTTTTAACCCTACAACAATTTCGTAAATAATTTCATGTTTTGCATTAATTTGGAAAAAAACTCCTTCTCAAAGGCCCGCCCGCCCTCTTGTAGGGAAGAAAAACACTGCCCGTCAAAGTAATTCAACCACAGAAACAAAACAGTCCAAATATACTTACAAATATTCTCCCAAGCTTGCAAGAAAATCACAGAATCCCGATTAATAGCAGGTACCAGTGAATGCCATAAAAAACATATCTGGAGAAAGCTGTAAAATGAAATGAAACCAATCCCGATTGAAGGAAACATATGATAGTTCAAAGTCAGGGCCGTTTTTTAGGGGGTTCAATAGGTTATCCAGAACAGGGCTCCAAGATTTAAAAGGGACCCAAATTTAAAAAAAGAATAGTTTTATATAGCAATATTATATATTAATACCAATCAGTTATATTTTTCATTGATCTTTTTACTCTTTTAGTTTTCTTTTAATGATTATTAAATTGATTTGATTATAAGTATTTGGTTAGAGATTTTTTAAAAAATCTTTTATATAAATGTGGGGCTCCGATTTTTCATTTTGAACCGGGACCTCCAAATTCATTAGACGACCCTGTTCAATGTAGCTGAAGAAATTACTTTTCTAGTAGTGTCTAGCTTTAGAG